ACCTGCATATCAACATTACGACAGATGCTCTTGTCATTGGCACATTCGATAGCAGCATCGACACATCCACCTTGAGCGAAAATGTGTAGATTTACATCCTATTTTTGAAGAATGTAAAACACAAACCTTCCATGCAGAATCCGCACACATTCGGACAGTCACGAGCTATGATTTCGCGCCATTTAGGATCTTTGCATTGTGCTGGTTTGATTGTTGAGCAAGTAACTCCAGGGACTTAAAATGCTAATTTCAAAATTTCAAAACCAAACTATACGCTCTTACATTCTTTGTTATTGCAATGGTATTGTGGAGTCAAACAGCAGTAACCGCAAGTTTTTGGGCACATAGCAATCACAGCCTGTTTCTTCTCTTCCGAATCTGCATCACCCATCTAAAAAACTGCTTCCAACACTAATTTACATCATAAATAAAGATAATTCATCACCCGCAGAGACTGGACGCCACTGCGGACGGCTGAGACAGCTTGTGTTTTGCTGAGACGGCAGACGGCAAAAGAAATGATACTGCACTCAAATGCGAGAGACGCCGACAGCGTACGCAATTGCGCCCTTTTCTGTGTGTTATGACTCGACCATATGAATTTCTGACCTTGTAACATTCCGTTGCCCGATCTGTGTCACCACCGACAGCAAGCGGAGTCTGAGATTTGATTATCGAGTCGCAGACGGCGTCCGAGATCATATTGTCACAACCAAGGGCACTGTCCGAATACTGAATCAATGAAATATTTCTCAACGGAATGACCAAAAGTTTTGATTCGCTTTCGTGAGTGAATTAGCAAATTAGTTTCTACCTTTCCATCGGGGGTGGTACAATTCAAATCGGTGATAGCGCCATTGACGGCTACGGTCAAGGCTGCGATTATCGCGAAAGAGTACATGACAGCCTAAAGTGCAGTTATTACTGAAAATAATGGAATTAATACTACTATTGCTTGATATGAGATGCTTATATCTAAGGAATTAGCTGAAATCGCTGATTGTGCTAATGCTCAAAATCCTTATATATCCAAGCTGATCATTGTAGGTCTCTTTCTATGCACACACCTGCCTCA